GCTCATTTAGCTATGGTAGATGCTGATATTTGATCTTCCTTCATCAACATCTAACAGACTTTTGATATACACGTACCACTGTGCTACTAGTGATTATCATGTGCACTTTTCTGCTTGAGTTAAAAAAAAAAAAGATTCAGTACTGCATATTCAAGACAGTAACACATGCATTGCCAAAGAAATCATACACTTCACCTCAGCCATAATTATTGACATTAAGTGTAGTTTTTCCATTAGTTTTAAGGTGGTGATTTGTATATTGGTCTAAATACTACATCATACATCTAACAACTGGCTTTATTCCAGTGAACAACATTCCAGGCATTCTCCTGACTCCAGGCATCATAAATGCATACAAAACAAACACACCACACAGTAGGCTTCTTGCCTGCTGCTGATCTGCAAGCAATCACAGTCAATTTTTCAAGCTCTATCAGTTGCCTGCAGCCTCTCTGGATGTTTAAAGAGAAAATAGGAAGCACCGATGCCAAGCGAACGCTCTGAGGACACTCACACTGAAAATGGGAGGACAGTTTCATGCAAGTTAAGCCACCTTCCAGATTTTAGACTCTCCAAGAGAAGATGGGAAAGTTGAAGAGACAAAAAAAGCACATGCACTTTAAACAAGAAAGAGTCTGAAACTTAGCAGCAATTTTCACACACACACAGAGTAGAAGGTTCACCACAATTCCCATTCTTCTGAAGATAAAAATAATTCCAAGGGCTGACTTCAGCTGAATGTTGAATTTGCAATTTCATTGTGTCATACAAGTTTCAAAACCTGAAGCTATCAGTCAACTGGGATGATTTCTGTATTTTTAATGCAAGATGACCAAGGCATAGAGATTCCCTAGTTGTTTTGTCAGGAAATGACGATTTTAACAAGGTAGAAATACCTACACAGCTCTTTAAAGCAAATCAGGTAGGATATAAAAAGACAAAATTATGCAAAATAGAATGTCTAACAACTTCCCGAGTACAACTTTTTAAAAACTAGTTTCCCATCTTTCATCTTTTAAGCAAGATGAAAATATGATATTGTGACCTCAAGCACCCTAAAAAAGTATGTGCATGGTTCACACGCACCAGCCACAGACCCTTCATGCTCATTTAGCATAACAACCTGGCTTCAGCTCAGTCTTTCCCAATAGGAAGGTGGTTTTCTGGTGCTACACATACCTTTCCACTATAGCAGATCTGCAGGGTGTTTGATGTTTTAAGAAAGAAAAAAAAAAACCAAAACAAGAAAACCCCACACCCACAAACACCACATCTTGAGACATAGTTAGATCAATGTATATGAAAGGACTTTACAATGGAAATTGTTTACAGGTTAGCATGAGTTAAAACTGATTGCTTTGATACTTACTAGCATAACAATAGTAGCAATCAAACGTGTAGGCTCAAACATCCTTTTCAATTGTTTCATTGGTCCCATAAGAAAAAGAGTGCTGTGAAAAACAAAACAAGATGAACACAGAGGCAGAAAGGCAAAAGTGAAACTAGGTAAGATTCCTCATTAAGGGGGGTTATTTTGTTAAATTGTCTGCTGTCATATGGGGCATCAGTACACTATTGTGTTGTTATGGTAATCAGTGCTGCATAACAAAAGAAACAGGATATACGAGACAAAATCCATTCCTGCTTTTCTTTGAGCAAGGTATTTATTCTACCACTTTATTCACACTTGTTCAGTTACAATTAACATAAGCAGAGCAGAACTATCAAGCTAGAAGCATAGGTCAAGGTCAGCTTCAATTAGATCAGGTAATCCAGCTCATTTCTTCTACAGAAAGGGCTGTTTTCAGGCCTGGATCCATTCTCTGATCCCTTACCAGATCCGCAGACCTCATTTAGACCCCTGGTGACTGATACTGCATGAATTATACAAGGTCAAAGTTTTATCGAAGGTGATATTTCTGCCTCATATAGTATATTATTCTGCCTCATTACTATGTATGTCCAATTCCATTCCTTGTGCTTTCTAACATCTTGTTAAGTTTCCTCAGTCACAGAAGGTCGTGTCTGTCACAAAGTCAGTGGGGCTACGCTTCAGGAACCCCAGTGGCCATGAAGGCTTATCAGCTGGGTCTACCCCGACAGACAGACTGCCCCAAATATATTCACCAAAACACACAGAACATTACCAAATGCAAAATGGCAAAGAATTCTTTTTAGCTTGAGGGGAAAAAAACCAACAAAATCAAAAAACCTTAATGCTCAAAGCATGAGTTTGATTCTTCTTTACTGATGAGTAACTTTTACCTTGAATGCATTGCTAATAACAATAAACAAAATAAAAATTCCCTTTACCATTTCAGGGCACTACTGGGGAAATGCTGTTCGTTAAAATTCAGCAACAAGAGAATGATCTACATAAGCAAATCTTCTCACACAAATGCAACAGTTTCTACCACTTATGCAGCTTTACCTATCATTCTGCTTTAGTTTCTCATCTTTATTAGAGAACTAATATATAAAGATTGTTACCTCCCAATAGATGCAATGTTCCCCAGTGTATAAAACACTGCAAAGAGCGTCAGCCCTTTCCTTGGTACCCATAGCAGGCAACTACCCTGAAAAGAAACATTTAGAGAGAAAGAAGAGAAAAAAAAAAAAATATTGTTTTTAAATTGCAAAAGAGATCTATCCAAGAAATGTCACAACACAAAAGAAGTCTTAGGAAAACTTAAACCCAGACTGCAGAATCACTCACACGCACACACACACACGAAAGTAAACTGTATTTATTGGCATTCTTGTTAAGAGTTAGCGCATTGCATCTAACTGGAACCAAGTCAGATGTCTTCCCAGAGAATCAAAAAAATCAAGCAACAGCACACAGCAAGGCTGTAATTACTAGGGCTCCTGAAACTCAAATATCGGGGAGATCTGGCAAAAAGTCCTTACCAAGAGTGAGCACAGGCATCCTATTGCAAAACAAGCAATGAAGCCTTTCACTCTGGTGCCCCAACCTAATGAAGTTGCATCAATAACCTAGAAACGAGGAGAAAAATAAGAGTGCAAGTTATTATTTACTAAAGATCTTGCCACATATAAAGTGTGTAAATTTCCTCTGAGATGCTAAACTGCGTCCTAGCGCAAACGGAGCCTCGGTTTTTAAGCACCCTCTTCAATCGCCCGTAGGAAGCGCGGGTGCTGCTAAGGGACCTCCCCATTAGGGAGCAGCGACAGGGAGTCCCTGCAGGAGGGAGCGCTGCCTCCCGCCGGCGGGTACCCCGGGCCCGCCCCCCCCCGCCACGCTCACCGGCACTGCCGGGACCGGCAACTTTTTCGCTATTCCGCGAACTCCGCAAACAAACAGGCGGAGGGTTGGTTGTTTGAGTGGGTTTTTTTCCCTGCCCCCACCAAACAAGTGCGCGGGCCCGCACTTGTCCCCGTTCCCCCGCTTTATCTTCGGGCTCGCTGCAACCAGTCTTCCCGTGCCCGGCCGGCCCAGGTTCACTCGGGAGACCGAGTCGTCCTCTCTCACAGAAAACAGACGCCAGGGCCCCCTTCCAAGGCAGCGGCACCCCCGGCAGCGGCTCCTCG